TTAAAACATAATCGTGTATCGTTACTTTTGTTGATTAGTAAACAAATCAAATTCAAAACGAACATTATTTGAACTGGTTTCAACATTCCTCTTATAGCAATAAACTAAGCAGAAAAAAATGGCGTAGCTAACATGGTAGAAGTAAAAAAATCATTATTCTTAGAAATTTAGACAACATAATTGCCAAAAAGGAAAAAAAAAACACAGAAAAATTAACTGTTGTGTTACTCAAGCTAAAATCTGTTGATGATTCAAAATGGGTAATAAATCATTATACAGTGGAGGATTGTACAATGTATGTTGTCTGACCCTTATAAACATTAAAAGTTTTATAAACTAACGGAACATGTAAATTATCCTAACCTTTATTCATGAATGAATGTAAAATCATCTTTCTCAAGACTAAAGTCAAACAAGACGTTTAAATTTGAAAACAGTACAGACTTTACCTAACTACCTATGACCATTTCTTTGATCATTTATGGGACAGATATTCAGCAAACAGTCAACCAAGGAATTGAGCAAAACCCATGTCGTATAGTAAGATATAAAAGTCCATGACATGACAATATGTGAAACGGGAAATCAAACGGTCTGATTTATTCTGGGGCAATAAATGTGGCAGAAATGAACCAACACCAGCCTCTGAATAACAGGCTTCCTGAGTTTGGACTGAAACATAAAGAATGTGGCGGGTTAAACATGCTTGTGAGCAATCAACTTTTACCTTAACATCTTACTGTGGTACACCAAAGAACAACATAAAAACACACTATAAAATGTAGTTTGAAAGGGCTTGACTCATTAGATATGCACAATGCACTAAAAAAACTAAAAAGACTCAAAAGACACAAAGTACCTATCTAGAGTACTCGCTGTTATATGATGTGGAAGTTTGCTCAAAGACCATTACAACTAGTAAATATATCTTGTCGTCCCTGGATAAAATATCAATTAGTGTAATGACGCCATCAACAGTCTATGAGGAAAGCACAACCTTGTGCAAGGCCCCTCCCCTCCCCCCCCCCCCCAAAAAAAGTGTCGATGTAGTGAAAATATGATGCAGGAACAAAAACCTTCTGTATCTGCATCCTATTATCACTTCATAAATATATAGCAATATGTATTTTGTTATGTTTTATAAGAGATTTCCAATAAAATGACATATGTTCGTAACTCGACGTACGGACCTAATGGGACTGGTTATTGCCATCCATTGAATTTGGTTAAATACGGCGCTGAAGTTTAAATCAAGTATGCGAAGACTCTTAATCATACTCTGGAATTTTCTTCCATATTAAATAATTTTAACATGATGAAAAATGAGAGAAATCATGCATTTTTTTTATTTATCACGTGGTTCTCTAGATTCCCGCCTTAATTTTCACTGACATAAGACCACGCATATCCCTTACCTATTATACGATCGATTTAAGTTATCATTCATGGTTTTGATTACGCCAATTATATTTCAATATACTTTGCTCCATTTTTCTATATTTTACATGCTTATTTTTGTCGTAATCCGATGTTCTTTCTTTATCTATCGATCTATTTATTTAAATTGGGGAAAAGGGGGGGGGTGCAATTATTAGAAGAAGAATTTTTTCTCACAATTTCAAAATCAGTCATGTCAGAATCTTCCAAAAAAAATTGTCCTGTCCCCAAGTACGTATAATCTTAATTTCTTTCGCTTACAAAAGTAACTCCTGCTTTAACCTTGTAACTTATAAATAAAAAATGAGAAGATCATCTCGCTTCAGATTTCATTATTTTTATTTTTTCCAAACTTACTTGTGATTAAGTAGTTTTAAGACTTCACTCTTTGAGAAATAAATATATGGGTCCAGTGAAATGACGAAGTAATGATCGGTGCATTTGATTACCGGTAACTGGATAAATTATTCCCTTAAGGTTCGTCAAAGGGAATTGAAATACATGGCCGTGTTTACACCACAAAATCTACTATGAGTACAGACAAACTGATTCATCTAAGAAAATTTTAAGGCATGGCAGGACCTAGATATATAAAAGTTATATGTAGTCTATGTTTCAGAAAATTAAAATCTTACCTGGATTTTGATGTTCATTTTTTTCCAGTCTGCAGAAGATAGCAAAATAAACAAACACTTGAGTTTCATTTGATACAATCCACTCAGTTACACAGTTTAAATCACCTATTGTTTGCAAATATGTATTGACCGTCTATTGTCCATTTAAATCAATACTATTCACAACATTTATTATATGAGGGGAGCTTCTCAAACCTCTTACCCAACTTAGTTTATTTTGGCACCCTCTGCAGGAATGAAAAAATAAATGAATAGCAAAATCCAGAAAAGATTATAATTTTCTGAAACATAAAATGCATTTAAAATTTGATGATCTAGTTCCTGCCATGCCTTAAAACTTATTCGGGTGCACAGGTTTGTCTGTACTCAGAGTAAAATGAGTTGGTAATACGGCCATATACGCAAAAAGGTTATGATGAACCTTAAAAGTTGTTGTTAATAAAATGATCCCAAATTTAATAACAAAATATAAAAAATTAAAATAGCAGATTTTGGTAATTTTTGAATAGTATCTTTTCAAAAGTCATTTTATTGGAAATCTGTAGTATTAAAATTTGCTGCTATGAAATTTTTGAAATTATTTTGAAATTAAGGAATATATCTCCCTTATGCAAAACTCTGATTCCTTGTCCGGATTTGGCTATACATAAGGTCCTTTTTGGTTTTATCCGCTCTTTAACATTTATATAAGATTATAAATATTTTAATACTTTGGTCTCGAGCATCACTGAAGAGACATTAATTGTCGAAATGCGCATCTAGCGCATTAAAATTGGTACCGTTTATGTTATTCCAAACTAAAAGTCAAATGGACAGAATTTGTGCTGCTTTGCTTCATAAATAGTATTAGCCAACGTAGATACAAGTATCTTGTTTAAGGGAGGGATAAATCTGACAATCTGAAAATCACTCTGGCTCTGACAAAAAGTTCTTTGAAACTGACAGCCTCAAGACGCTTGATTTCTTGATTGACAACTAATTTGTTACGTGTCGAGGACTTGTTTTAAAAAAAAAAAACAATCGGCATTCCCATGGGATCAAACTGTGCTCCTCTTCTTGTAGACTTTATTCATAAGAGGCTGACTTCATACAGGAGCTTCTCAGGAAGAATGAAAAGCAGCTAGCATTTTCATTTAACTGCAAGTTCCGCTATATAGATGACGTCCTCTCACAAATAATTCAAACTTTGGTGACTATGTTGACATTCCAGCAGCGTCTGCATACGTAGTATATATCTCCCAGTTTATATGATGTTCCAGAGCATCCATTTCCTATTATGATTAAAGGGTTGCTGCTTACATGGGAGCTATTAAATCAAGAGTTTCAAGAGAGAAGATGAAATCATCCCTTCAAAAATTTCACGGACGGCTTCACGAGTTGGTTGACCGTTCTGGAATATCTGTTTCACAGATGACGACGGATATGTTTGTAACCACAATCCCATTCTCTTTTCTTCGAATGTGACCTACATGTGTACTTACATGAGCAACATTATGGGTGCCACATGTGGAGCAGGATCTGTTTACCCTTCCGTAGCACCTGAGATTACCCCAGCTTTTGGTGGGGTTCATGTTGCTCAGTCTTTAGTTTTCAATAATGTGTTTTGTGTACTGTTGTTAGTCATTTTGTCGTTTTTTGTTTTTTTGTTATGGCATTGTCAGTTTGTTTTCGACTTATGAGTTTGAATATTCCTTTATCTTTCGTCTCTCCTTGAGAATTTCGGGAATTTCAACTGATTTAAAAATCTAATTTGATACAAAAAATTCTATTTTAAATTTCTCTCTATCTATCGTCCTTTTTCTAAAAAAAAAAAGGTTCATCGGAAGATACCAAGATTCTTGTTGATAAAAATTACGTATCAACTTCACAAATAATACATGATGGTCTTGAAGTATAGATTCTAGGTACTGACGTTGTTTATCATCATAATTACGTGTTATAGTTTTCATTCTATTTGTCTTTGTATATTTTCAACCTTTACTGTTTAGTCCATTTTTGGTAATATCTTTTTGGCGTGGCTCGGTATTTATACATCCCGCCATTGTGTTATTGTATTATTGTATTATGGTCATTTTTTGTATTCTTGTCTTTCATTTTTGCTTATGTGCTTTGTCTATAGAGTGTCTTTATGCTATTTTGTTTTTCTTTGTTGACATAGTTGGTTTTTTTTATAGTGATTAAGATTATAAAACAATGTTGACTGCTGTACCTAGTTTTTGACATTTTTACCTAGTATGTCAGTTTGTTTTGCTCACAACATTGTTGCCAATATAATGGAATTCTAGGCGACTGTCATACAAGTGAGAGGTTTGGCTAGCTATAAAACCACGTTTAATCCACCATATAATCTACATAAGGAAATGCATGTACCATCTCGAATATTTTACTTACTTCTAGATCTAATTATGCTTGTATTTCAGTAGCAAAACCTCCATAATCGTTCGATTTATTTGAAAATTTCAAAACAGATTCTACACTGCTGATCCCTATCCCTAGTTTTCGAGATATTTGTTGATCGATAAACTGAATATCCTAAGGAACATTGAAATAGAATCAGGTTAAATTTGGCCAAGTAGTTTCAGAGAAGATATTTTTTAAAAGTTAAGACGGCAAACAGGCGGACAACGATCACGAACGCCAACTGGTGGGAATAGCTCACATAGCCCTGTGGTCTATGTGAGCTAAAAGCGACATAAAACAAAAGCTGACCAAAATTTATGATACGGTTAAACTTGTTTCCTTTTCATTTCGGATATGTTTCTAAGATTTTCAGACTGAATAAATCTATGAATATCATTACATCGTAACAACACAGTTACTTATTAGCATTGAATGATGTCAAAATTGTTAGCTAATCATATCTTAATTTTTTTCGCTAAATTTTGCAACATCTCTTGGATTTTCATAATTAGTGCATTTAAAATGGTAATCTAGAAACCCATTTATTTAAAAAAAAATTATAAACCACATAAATCTTATACACATATTTGACAATTAATTTCAAGTTATTATTATTTTGCGTTTCATGTTAACCTATTGGTTTCCTTACAAAAATGTGTAACTGTCAATATGATGTTTTAAAAGACCTTTTGTGTTTCATATGGTGGTATATATTTCTTTATGGAAGACCACTCCACCTTATTATGTTATTTTGAATTTCAGCAGCATACATCCTTAATTTTCATGAATATATTGAAACTAGCAAAGTTTTAAATTTTAAAAGTATTAAAGTATTTAGAACCCAGAATACTCGATCTCATAAAGCTTGGCATTTGTGGCCGTTTTGGCTTCAGAACATCCAATATATAAAGTTGTCCCAGTAAATGCAACGCAGTATGGTTTCACTATCCCTATTTCTCTTGTTTGAAAGTATGATATCAGGTTACATGAGCTATCAAGGATGTGAAATACATTAAGATAACGATCCGGTATTATGATGTTACCTATCGGAGTACTTCTTACGCTAACGGGTTCAAATGGTTGATTCTCATTATTGATGTCTTGGTGGCCGCTGTATGTATTTAAGATGGTTCCGTCTTTACCTAGTGCCAATATTTTGCTGTTAATTTTATAAGCCTGAGTATAATCAGCAACAAAGATAGTCCCATTAGAAGTGCTGGTAATACTCCTGGGGTATGTCAGTAATCTTTGTTTATTCCCATCATGTTCATACACAGATTCATGGTTCCCGTCTTTATCCATTACAATTACCACTCTTCTTCCTGCGACAGGTATGACTTCACCAGGACTCATAGCACCTACTATAATTTTATGGTCACTTGTAACGTGGAGTGACATTATCAATAGTAGATCAACTCCATATTTTGAGTCATTAACTTTTTCATTGTTTCCGTTAATGAGGGTCAGCCTAGATGTTGAATTAGCTAGCAGGATATCGCCATCTGGGGTAAATGCTATATCTCGTATTCCTGTCTTGATGGTAGCCATTGTTATGAGATTGTCTCCATCTGGCGTTATCTTCATTAAAGATCTGTCAGAATCACTACCAATCCATAGTGAACTGTTTGAACAGACCGCTATAAACTGACAATATCTTATTTTAGTGATGAACTGCTTGTTCACTTTCATTTGTGTCAATGATCCAACAGTTGATGGAGTAATCCTTCCTGGTATGAATTGTGGTATATATGAATGACTTAGGTAAATGGGTTTAATGGCAATTTCTAAATATTTTTCTACTTTGTCAATATTTTCAAAAACCTTAAAAGGGTCATAGGAATTAATGAGATCATCTAGTTCATTGAATTTCTCCTGTCTTTTCTGTCTGGAATCTATGGCTTTTGTCTGTTCGTTGGATATGGAATTTTCAGTGACCTTCATTTTGTGTTGTACTTCTTTTGAAAGCTGATCTGCATATTTTATGACTGCTTCTTTCTGAGCTTCAATGTGTTGCAAAACCTTCTCACCTTTGAGGTTCTCTGATATTTTTAGCTTATTAAGCTCTCTTTCATCATCAGCGAGTCCCTTTTCCGAACTTTCCATTTTAACTTTTATAGTCTTGAGCTTTTCGAGCTTCATATCATATGCTTCCTTGATTTCTATGAAAGTATGTCCAGCATGAATCTTTGGAATACATATAGGGCAAACAAGGTCATCACAATTACTACAGAAAAGGCAGCATGATTGTGTCGTGTGGGATTTACATTTTATGTTTGTAAAGTTAAGGATTCTTTTACCATCGTCAAGTCCGACTTCCTTTATATCAACTAGTGTGTGTTCAATAGCGTTTTTAAACTTTGGATGAATTTTATCATTGCACTTATTGCACATTAGTAAGTCGCAATCAAGGCATTTCCATTTTAATTTTGTCTCTGATTCACAAAGATTACACGAAATAATATCCTGAGCTTTCATGACAGATTTTGAAAACGCCATTATGTACAGATAATTTACTTCCTTGACTGGGATTTCTCTGCGTCAAATATATGCTTGACAAAAATGATTGAGATTATACATTGAAAGTATGTCATATATTATCAATGACATTAAATATGTCAAATGTCAGATTGTTTTGTTCACCTTACATAAAATAGAAATGTTGTTTAATTCACAAATCAATACATAGTTTGTTTATATATTAAGTCAGTAAGATCCAAACTGGGACTATTATAATATTAATATTATAGTCGCAGATCAAAACTATTACCGTTCTATCTCCACTTTATATTTTTGTACTAATGCTATTATCTATGACCTTATTACACCCATGTCATTAACTCATGATACACAAGTCCAATAACTCAATGGTAAAATTCATCATAACTACTGAACAAAAATGTCTTTGGTTACATCTCCAAAATTATTCTGAACACAGATAAACATGTGCAGTTGGAAAAATATTAATGCCTATCATTCTCCAAATATATAAAAGATTGTTTGATGGATTTTTTTTTGTTCCTGCAGAAGGTATCAAAAATGACCTCAGTAGGGTAAAATCTTTGAGATGTCCCTCTAAGGTAATAATTGTATGGACAATAGAATGACAATTAATATCTACACAACAACAGGTGATTTAAGCAGTGTAAATCACTCATCAAAGATACCAGACTACAAAAGACTCATCAGTGACGCTCGAATAGTGAAAGGTCAAATAAAGCACAAAGTTGAATGGGCAATGAAGACCAAAAATTCCGAAAGGTTTTGTCAAATACAGCTAAGTTAATCTATATACCTGGGCTACTTTACGTTGGTGAAACTCGACAAACTTTGCGTAAAAGGATGAACCAACACCGGTCTCATAATAAAGATCCGCAATTCAGGGTCCTTTATAAACATTTTAATCAACCGGACCACGATCCTTCTTTATCTATGAAAGTACGTATCATCGAGAAAATTTATCACCACACCAATAGCACTATACTAAGTACTCCTTTCCGAAAAGATAGAGAAAATTTCTGGATAAGGGAACTAGGTATTGCAATGCCATATGGTTGCAATGATAACATCAAAGGAGTAGGGAAAAGTCCAACCTGCAGTGATGTAAATGTAATGAGCTTATTTAATATTAACTTAAGACCCCAGCATAGTCATGGACAAAAACATTGCCATCGGCACAATGTAAATAAGTCTTCAAAATCTAGACGGCATTCTGGGAGCTTTTAATGACCTTTTTCACATCTTCATCATCCACTAGTGTTACATTACATTAGAACTATTCTTTTTTCTCTTCCTGTTCATTTTCTAAAATGTTTGAGATATGTGCACTTGACAAGGAATGCATAAATAAATTTTCTTCAATATACAGACTGGTCAGTATAATTTGTGATGTGGATCTTTTCCGTTTTTTTAAACCAGTAAGATCGGAACCATAACATAATGAAAATATGAAATTCATTCCAGTCCCAATTTCTAATAAAGGAATCTATGCTATCAACATCAGCAACGTTCTTCGTCACAAAGAAGTAACATATAAGAATTCCACTTTCTTTTCAAAATCATTTTGTTCCTATTGTATCCTACAGTCACACAAAAACAATTGCACCTAAAGTATTTAACCAAAAGCAAGCATTGCAGGGCCTTGATTTAGAAGAATACCTAAAAAATATGTGATTGTTCCTACTCGCCTGATATTTACCAGCTCATCAGATCATGTCATTACTGGGGATCTAAACATAATTCAACATGAACATCTCCAAAAGGTGATATCTCATGGTCCTAAGTTCAGAGAACCCCAACACATCAATTGGAATCATAACTTCAAAATAATTATGGATTCCATTGAGGAATCGCCAGAGCATGGGCTAAACGAGAGGCATTTGAACTGGACACTTTGTCAGAATGGTTTAATGCTACCAGGTCTCTGATAGAACGTCGAATCCGAAATTTGAAAAACTGTGTAAATATATAATTGACCAAAGTCCGTATTCAGAGACAAAGAAGCTGTGATATGTCTATCATCTTTTCACGATAAATATGTAGTTTTTACTGCGGAAAAAGCTTCAAATAATATTGTTTTTGTATGTAAATCGTACTACTACGAATGTCTTGTAGAAGAATTAGGAATATATAAGCACTCGGGTAATCCAACATACACAAGCATATCATTTGACAAGAATGAGATTTTGGCGAATCATAAGTCCTTCATGGCTTCAATGACCATTATATTGAACAGCAAATCAGAGGACTGACCTTGTTTGGAGTGGATACCTAAGTTTAAGCTTCACAAAATTCTGTTCAAACAACAGGAAATGTCCGGCTCTTCTGCATGTTCTACAAAGGAATTGGCCATTAGATTGACAAAAACTCTGTCCGCAGTGAAAGAAGGTCTTCAGAAATACTGGGAAACTGTTTACTGGCGTAGTGGTATTAACCATATGTGGATTCTAAACCCTAAAGAACTTCTGGATGATTTTAAATATCGATCTTTCTCTGAAATTGATTCTATCAAATTTTGATTTTGATTTTCAACCCTTTATACAACCATTCCCCATGTCAAATTGAAAAATCGTCATACAGAAATAATCCACAGTGCTTTTCAATATAAAAATGGTAGCTTATGCTATAAATTTATTTCTTTGGGATTCCATACGACATATTTTGTTAAAAGTGAATAAAAAGGTAAAACATGCAACACAGAGGAACAAGTGATCAATATGCTGGAGTTTCTTATTGACAACACATTTTGTTGAATTTGGAGCTAGACTTTTCAACAAATTGTCGGCATTTCTATGGGAACGAACTGTGCGCCTCTCCTTGCCGACCTTTTCTTTTTTTCATATGAGTCGGAGTTCTTTCAGACAATTGTCAAAACAAGAAGATCAATGAAGCTAGATCATTAAATTTCACATTCGGATATATTGATAATGATCTTTCCATTAACAATCCAAACTTTTCTGATTGGGTTCCACTAAAATATCCTTCAGAACTAATTCTTAGACTTTTACCTCGAATTTGACATAAGCGGTCATCTAAGTACCAGAATCTATGACAAACGAGACGATTTTAATTTTGAAATGATAAATTTCCCCCACCTTAGCAGCAATATTTCCTGGGAACAGTATATCAATATATTATATTTATGTTCCTGATATATCTGAATGTGATCACTATCTCCAAGTTGATACGATTTTCCAGAGCTTGCATTTCCTATCATGATTTCCTTGATAGAGGGTTGCTGTTTACAAGGAAGCTATTGAATCAAGTGTTCAAAATGGGGAAGTTGAAATCATCCCTTCGGAATTTTTGCGGACACCATAACGAGTTGGTTGACCGTTATGGAACACCTGTTTCACTGATGACGACGGATATGTTTCAATTGTCGTAACTACACTTCCGTCCTCTTAAAATTGAATGTCTCATACCGAATTAGACTTGTCACCGGATTTGTACATATATGATCAACCAGACAGATACAACATGAGAAGAAGGTTATGCTTACCCTTCCAGGGCACATGAGACCAAGCGAGGAAGGTTTGGGGGTTTGTGTTGAATATTGTATCAGTTGGAAGATATTATACTCAATATACATGCGCTGCTGGGATGTTGCTAGATAGAAATGGAAAGTTCACAATTGGGAAACTGAAATCATTTCTTTTGTCATAAACTTTTGATCTCATCTGAAATAATTGTCAATTTCTAGATATAAGTCAAGATATAGGGCAGACTTAACTACATCTGTTGTATCCTTTAATTCTATTTCGATAGGGTGGATTCGTTAAACATAGTTACCAAACTTTGATTTTTTTAGTGGGAGGACATCATAATATAGCGGAAAGTGAAGTTAAAGAATAGTGCTTCTTCTTTGCATTCTTCATAAGAAGCTCCTGTTTGAAGTTAGCCTCATATAAAAAAAGTAACAAGTCATCAAGAAGAGGGGCACAGTTTGTTTGAATCCGGGTGTTATTAACAAATTTAAAACTAAGTACGATTTATCTCTCACTTAGACAAGATACTTGTATCTACGTTGGCCATTCTGATATATGAAACCAAGCATGATCAACTCTTTCAATAAATCGTTTAGTTGGGGATAGAGAATTAAAGAATTAACAAACCACATACTGTAATGTAAGCTGTACAAGTCCCCAGCAAACAGCACAACATACAAACAAACTATAAAATTAAGTAGTGAATATCTTATCTTGTCAGATAGGCAAGAAGCACAAACAACTAATAAAACACAAAAGTAACAAAGTACCGATCTAAGATTATTCGCCGTTAATAAAAGCTTTCGCATGCCCATTACAGCTTGTAATAAATTAAGTATCTGTCTTTCAAGACTAAAATATCAATCTCTTCACATCCAATGGAATCAGTTCAAGACGGAATACACACGTTAAATGCCAAAATATAATTATATCGACTGGATACTGTTTCTCAACTGTATAGAAACACCCATTTAGTTATGTTTCTGTTATGCGGGAAAGGGGGAAGGGTAGACTAAGGCCGTTGCCTCCCCTCTCCCGCTGAAGGTTAATTGTTGTCGCTCTGCTGTTTACATATATCTGTATTCACTATTTTAACTACGACAATTTGGGGGACTGTCGTTCGCGTTCTTTCGAGGCCTCCTGGTGAATAAAACAAAGATGTCTATATATAAAATTGAGAATGGAAATGGGGAATGTGTCAAAGAGACAACAACTTGACCATAGAACAGACAACAGCAGAAGGTCACCAACAGGTCTTCAATGCAGCGAGAAATTCCCGCACCCGGAGGCGTCCTTCAGCTGGCCCCTTAACAAATATATATACTAGTTCAGTGATAATGAACGCCATACTAAACTCCAAATTGTACACAAGAAACTAAAATTAAAAATAATACAAGACTAACAAAGGCTAGAGGCTCCTGACTTGGGACAGGCGCAAAAATGCGGCGGGGTTAAACATGTTTATGAGATCTCAACCCTCCCCCTATACCTCTAGCCAATGTAGAAAAGTAAACGCATAACAA